CTCAAGTTAGCAAACGCGGCCCGGGCCTTGCAGATTCGTGCATTCACCTCCTCTGTCACACTGCAATCAGAACTAATACAACTTCCAAGGTACGTAAAACGCTCCACAACTTCCAGTACCTCTCCCTGGATTGTAAGGGGCGTGTTCAGTGACTGCACGTCCACAAGCATGACCTTACACTTTGTGGGTGCAAAATGCATACCAAAGGACGGGATGACTTTGGTCAGTTTATCCAAGAATACTTGCGCCTTCTCCTCCTCTTCGAACATGAGAACGATGTCGTCTACACGTCCTACGATGTTGAAAATATCCCAAGTTCTTGTTCCAGTAGTAGCGATTCTTAGCCTAGTCTGAATGGTTGGTGAACCACTAATGTTTGTTGCTAGGCCGGTTTTTGTCAGTCTTGTCCAAGCATGCCATTGTAGCCTGTAGCCTGAATTCGACCGAGACGTATTCATCCTAAAAAAAGGTACCTATGGTTTGCATCTATTACTGACATCGATTAATCCTTCTCTCAATTTCCAAGCATGTGTCGAACATCGGGTATTCTAGTGGATACACTTGATTTGCATCCCTGTTGAACGCGATCCACTTATCCGACTCCACGTCGAACCTGACCGTTGCCAAACAATCAGGATAGAATCAGCTTAGGGGATAACATGGTTCCCTTGTCGGTTTTTATACATCGAACCATGTACGGTTTATTACACCAGAACCGGATGTTTTCACTACAGTTCTGAGGCGCAAATTCTGGACACTCATCAAATGAATATCCGTAGCCACCTTATTCCTAATTTTTTGCTTGGGTTTCTGTGTTCTGAGATCCTCCTTCAAAGAATGCGAAAGAGAGGTCAGCAAGAAGTCAGGAATCCACATATGTACGTAGCTTACTATATTGTTCGCATATGTGACTATCTGGAAATTCTTAACCTTCGTTTGTTATTAGAAAGCGATCGCTTTACTAGCAGTGGTGCTTGTATGATGCATGCAACTCGGTGTGTCTTAGTGAGTTTGCTCAACTTTTACGCGACATCTTTCGTTACTTACAAGTGATTTGTTAGCTGTTCTCACCTACAGCGGCCTCCCGGCTGTCAGCGTTCTCACCGTGCTGACTCACCATATGCACATTAATCTGACACAAGCATGCCACTCGATTCAGCAACTACACGTGAACCGCATAGTCTCACTCTGGGACGAACTTGACAAGCTTCATGTGATTTTCTTCCACTGTATTGGGTTTTGTAAAATTGCGAACAAAATGGCAAAAAATGTTCGCTTCTTCATGCGCTCTGTTCATCACTATCGTGTCTCCGTACTCTGGAACAGGTGAATCCATCGTTGTTATGACAGTGTATAATTTCAGAATGTGATATAGCTACCCCAGCAAGCTGTGCATATATCACGCCTATCGAAATTACCGACCATGTGTTCTGTGCATTCAGCTTAATTCAGCTGTAGCTGTGGCGAAACTTCAAGCTCCCACTGTTTCCATTTCTGGTTTGTGTACAAGACAGCCGGTAGTTACCTTAACATTGTCATGGTAACTAGTTTCTACTTGTGCGTTGTATAGCGCTGCTCTTGTAAACAAACGCCCTTCCTCTGCAGGCATCCCATTTTCTCCTTTGCGCACTGCTGATTGCCCAAACTATCTACTGCACGTCAACTTACGATTGACCTGAAATCCCGTGTGTTGATGACTCATCAGACTTGGGTCACCAAAACACAACACTTATGTTTCTAGTATTCCTGCTGTCTACTCAAACCTGTGTCCATTTGGTTTGTAGATTCAGCCTTTTGAAACACGGTAAACGTTTTTTAGAAAGGCTGTCAAGGCCCTTGTTATGGAAACAAAATAAACGGACAGATGTTCTGGTGTTAACCAGTTAGATTTCATTGTAAAGGACCTACACATGAAGCTTTGATCCATTTTTTTTTTCGAGTTTGGTGGGAACCATTCATCTATCATCCCTTAGCAGTCATGTCAGGCAGTCTGTCCAGTCCGAGTGTTTGGAAGTGTCATGCAGGTAGCACCAAGGAGGATCATTTGGGGTAATGTGAGATGCGCTTCTGCAGTTTGCCACTCGTGAGTTCACTCAACCGAGGGATACGACTGTGTGTATGTTGTTATCGACGTTTCATCGCATTTGTTACCGATACATAGGTGCTTCGGTATCTTCCCACTCTTCCCTTAACAACATACCCCTGTTCAGTGCTGTCAAAGATTCGTGTCCCGGTGCACCCCATTGTTTAATTTCACGTTCACATCACTCGTTTGGATAGCATTTCTCCTGGTTTGGTGCAGCCATTGTAGTCAGTCCGCACCGAAAGGAACAACTCGAGTTTCGCTCATCAGTACCACGTATCCTTGGCTGTAACCGGGGTTGGACTCCAGACATCTGACATGCAAGACGAGTGTGTTGCCACTGCCAATACCAGTTATGTCTGAAAATGATTCGCGCTCGAAGATTATGAGACTATCACATCTCGCAGTCAATGTCGTAATCTAAAGGGACAGGTTGGTGTTCGTCGCACTTTCAACCTGTGTGCCAAGTACCGCTTTGTGTGCACACGTCTACAATTCACGCTTTTTTTCGCGTGGTTGTGATGTGTTTCCGGGTATTTTTCAACTAATCTTTCAGACCCAAAGCTGCCATAAATTGATGTCAGTAGATCGGCAACGAGGTTTTCCGAATGAAGTCTTGACTTACCGATCACCTGTGTTGGTTGAAAATCACAAACAAGGCACCAAACTTCATTTGAGGTTCCAGTGGTTATATCATTTAGAATTTCGGACACATCCCATTGTTTTAGTCGATTTAAACATGTCACGGAAATCTTTGTTAAGCATGAACTTCAGTGACTGGACCTTGTGCTGCTTATTCCGACAACGTGCCGCTCTCTCTCTCACCTGATATATTGTCGTACAATATTATCGTACACTCTCTCTCACCTGATATATTGTCGTACAAGTCTTGAGATGGATGACCATTGACTTATTATAAGACTTTCCGACAACAACAGTTAGTGTTTTGCTCCATCCTCTACAATACGGTTCCCGTCAGCAGCATTGTTGTCCGTATCCATCCAACAGACCTAAGCTCTTCGTCATATCGTCGTTTTCTCCTCAAAAGAAGTCTTTATAGTGAGTTATTTTTGTTTTGACGTGATTGGAAAACGCTTACTCAGAAATGGTCATAAGGATGGTGGGAACGACTGTAAGTGCTGAATTATCGTCGTCAGTTGTAAACCATTTGCAATGATTATAGCTGCCATAATTTCGCTCACTGATGAAATGATAATAGGGAGTCGATGGCCACATATTTGAGGCAGTGTTTGATATCGTTAATGAGTGACAGTGGACTTTTCGTCGGTGGGATGGGGAGGAGTAGTTGTGCCTTGAAAGGAACGACTTGGATGCATGCGCACCATTGAGCGCGCTACAGGCCCATGTCTGCCAGTGTCTCTAAGCCTTGGTGCGCTCCGTTTCGGGGTTTCGATCTAGGGAAACGGCAGTGAGCAGCTTAATTAGATTTGCTGGTAGATGCTTTCATACCTCCTTACCAAATCATTGTTTGGCCCCCTCTGGCTTGTTTCAATGCTACATGTGCTAACCTATGAAACACTATCCAGCCAGCACAACCAATCGAGTGTGATCAACTCATCATCTTAAGCGAGTTCATTCTTTCGAAAACTCTTCAACGTACTTCAGCACTATTGATCTGACATTCCCACCAGATCCGGGCAGTGGTCCGAAGAAACCGATGGCTAAGCATTGAAAGTTTTTCAACGTTCTCAGTACTGAAAAATGCGCAAGCTGGCGGAAGGTCGTTTTCAGTCCCGTCCCATCGGGCTAGTGCTATGTAGAGTTGCTATTCGGTTGGCATAGAAACGAAATTGTCTACTTAACAGTAGGGAAATTTGGATTGTGGGCCAGGGCAGCGTCTTAGATTTCATTTGGCGAAGAGAATGGTTACCTATTCGAACGGCAATCACTCCAGCCATTTCGGATATTCGCTGGTAAACAGCCCTCGACGAATTTCTCAGTACTCAATAGGATAACTTCTCATCACTTCTAGTGCGAAGTAATTGAGTTTAGCTTTCCCCTCTATAAAATGTTCGTAGGATGTTCACCACTTCTGTGGATGTCAGTTTCTACATCACCCCATCGTTTTCCCGACCTAGTTTGTCTTACCTCTCAATTATTTCTTCCTTGATCTAGGTTGAAGTAAAGCCTTATGTCCTGGACAATCAAATGTGTGATGAATGCCAAGGCGCCCGATGTGGTGGGAAATTCGCGCCATTTTTCTGTGCCAACGTTGCCTGCCTACAATACTACTGTGAGCAGTGTTGGGTTCAAATTCACAGTCGCAACGGTCGTGAGTATCACAAGCCGTTGGTGAAGGAGGGTGCAGAACGTCCACGACCTGCGTTGTATCGGTGGTAAAGATGTGAAAAGAAGGATCGCGTCGTTGCAGACAAAGGCCGCTTATGAAATTTATCAGCAGAAATTCTACCCGCGTTTATGAACCAAGGCCTCCCTCCGGTTGATCTTCGATTTCCCGCTCCATTTCTGATTTCGCTTTTGGGTTGTTCACATCGATCCATCGTCCTGTTCTTCCTGCCTCCTTCGCCTCGCCGTTCAACTGATCGAACTCTCAATGTTACAAGAGAGTCTGGTTTAGCTGGCGATTCCCCCGTCGGACATCACTTCCACAAGATACCCTTCTCGCGTTCTCACTACAAACCTGTCATCTTTCATTTGAATATCAGCTTCTGCTGCAGCGCGCCGTTCATAGTGTGCCCTATTCGGATTCACTGTGGTTGTGGCTCGTGTTCAAGAGCCAGTGATGGCCGATTGAACAGTTGTTTGCCATTCTCTAGTCTGTGATGTCCTCTCCCTCTATCTTTCACTCTCTGGTGTAGCTCCTCACTCCCAATTCTAGGGTCTCCTTTATTTGTTGCTTTTCTTTCCGTGTTTTCTAACTTTGTAATGTTTGTTGTACGACCTCACTCATGATACCCCATTTTCATCGCCCTCTTTGCTTCTCTGTTGCCATAATGTTTGGGTGGACTGTGCTTTTGTTTCTTTCTTCGTTTTCCGTCTGTGGTTCTGTGTGTGCTGCGTTCAAATGCACCAGCTATTCGTAGTGCCAGCTGTGATCGCCGCCCAGTTTTCTTCGTAGTTCTTACATCCACCGTTCTTTCCCGCTGTTTACACTTTCTACTTTTTCTTTTCGTTTCATTGCCGTCCAAACCTCTTCTCGCTTTCACATGATAATCGCTCAAGCACCTGTGTGAACCCTGGGTTGTCCCATCGTACTGGAAGAATTGACAGACTGTCACCTGTGGCCAAATGTGACCCCTCGTTTCCTAATCCCTATCCCCTATACCCAACCCGCCCCGTGCACCCTACTCTGATATGTTTAGGTAGGGTACGACCGCGCGACACCAAAGATCTTCCACACGTTCTTTGTGATTTTATTTACGATTGCCCACCAAGGCTGTGCCACTAGCCAAGCACCTAATTTTGTTCGCGGATTTCTCAATGTGCTGAGGTGGGCACCTGATCGATTCTCGCCAGGTTCTCCGAATTCTCGCTTTTTTCCACAGCCTATGCCACTTCTTTCCCCCCATCTATCACCTCAGATCCCGTTACATTCGTGAACTGTGGTCGTTTTGGTGGTTCTGTCGTTTTGTTTTCTGCTAGTTTTCTGTTACTCCGAACTGGCCGGTCAGTTTGCTTTAGGCACATATACAACCACTATTTTTGTAGGCTCACTTCTCTGTGTCCTGTTTTTTTTTCTTGGTTTGCTCATCAGGCTCCTCCTCATGGTTTCATAGCACTTTTCATCCGCCCTACCCGTCATTTCAACTGAGTATTCTTTGTTTCTCGACCCGAGTCGTAATCTGTTCTGTAGTGCTTGGTGTTGCCGGGGTGCTCGTGATTCGCTCATCTAGCCACATGCGCACACAGCTGGAGCAAGGCGAACTGATCTACACGCACTGACAATTTGTGCACGTACGAGCGCTTGTGTCTGTCATCCCACGTATCATCACAATGCATTTCTTATTCGTATGGTCTACCTACAGCTTTCACCAAACTTCTGCCCCGAATTTTGGAAAGGCATTTTGATCTGAATGCTCTCCGCGCGTCGTAAATCACCAAACGATCCGGTCGTGGGCTGGATTTGGCTATTTTTCTCCGTCAACTACACCGCCCCTTTCTTCTTTCCCTGTTATTTTTATTTATCAACCCTACAGCTCATTTCTCGCGCACAGACCATTCGAATTTCCCAACGCATCAATGCTTGTTCGCTTCTAGTGGTGAATTAGTTTCTATCTCCCTAGTCCAACTATCTGGATGTGCATCTCCCTTGTTCGGGTATGGACACTGCTTTCTAGTAATATGTTATCCTCCGTGAGTTCACGCTCGTGCTACCTCGTTGGATCGATTGCTACCTAATTCATTCTTGGTAGTCGTTTTCCAGCTATGGAGCTGTCTATCGTCTCCCGTCTGTTTTCTTTCCTGCTATCTATCCACAATAGTCGTCGCTCGGTTGTGAGTTCCAGTTTGATCTCAACTACACACTGGACTACCGTTTGACTGATCCACGGCGACCTCACCCTCATAGTCGTTCCTTTACCACCCCGGCGCAGCCCCAAAGTTACTATACAGCATGGAAGGGCGTGGTCTATCTCATTTGCCTAGCTGCCTCACGACACAATAAACCCTTGTGTGCATTCTTTCCGCTCACTTTGGAGCCCCTGTCTGTCACACACAATGCGGGAACAATTTGCTGGTCTTAGTAATGTCTGGTAAATATACCGAAGGATGATAGGAAAGTGTATGTGATCGCCGTTAATTTCTATTTGATTTTGCATCTCGCGCAACTTTTACACTCAATTGTTGTTCATTACATTTTGGTACGGTTTGTTTGTTTGTTGTTTCTTTTTTCTAATTTTTGCATACCTCGGTTTGGCAAAGAAACACTTTTGAAAAATATTTTCGTAGCGTTTTTATTGTTACGCCTGTGTTTATAGATTTTTCCGTCTATTATATCCATATAAAGAAAAGCACACGCATAGACTGGCCGGCTTCTCCACGTTCGGAGGATTGCTTACTGTTCGGGCTTTTGATGCAAGTTATTAGATAACCCATTTTCATTTTTACTTCCCTCTTGTTGTGTTAAATCAGCTTTCGTACTACAACTTTTCTGAATTTCTATTACACCGTCGCTGCCACCGCCACCTATGTTTGAGCCATTCTGAAAAACTGCACAAAAAGATATTCAATTCCCCCCCTGTTCTACATGCTTCCCAAAACACTTTCCCGAACTATTATGGTTTCTGTTGTGTGGTCTTCTGTTCTACCCCTAGTCTCTGCTCTATTTCGCATTTCCTCCACTCTTATCCCCTCGGACTAGACTTGCACATCCCATGCTGCTTTCGTAAAGATGCGCCTTCCGTGGTCCTGCCAATAAGTACGAAACGGCCGTGACATCTGATTGGTGGTTTGCTTCTCGTGCCGAGCTGAGGATTCAAACTGAGTCCACACTCCGTGTACCACCATTGCCACTATTCTACCAACACTACACCACAAAGTGATACGATATACCTATACACTAATATATCATTTTCCGCTCGGTATTTTTGTTTCCTCAACCAAACATAACCACCCTCTATATGTGGCATCTTTTGCCTCCCACAAGCACTTTCCAACTCACTCTCGTTCTCTTTGTCTCTCAAAATAAACCCAGTTATCGTCAATGTGCAATCATTTTTGTCGAGGGTGGTTCATTTCCAACCGTTACTGCCTACCGATCGCATGCGATTTTCTACCGTTTTTCATCTGGTTTAGTATTTAAGCTATTTTTATAATTTCTATTGATTTGAATATTTTTAAGTACTGTCATCACCAAGGTGAATCACCACTAGGGTCCGCTTTCCTCTCAGCCTCCCACTCCATCTTTCTCCGAACAACAGCATAACAGCATCATAAAAAGTAAACCCCGGGACGTTTTCATGTATTTATTTCCGGTTCATGCCCGTTTCCCCGCGCCACCTCAAATCGGTGAGTCTCACTCTTCTCAACGTGGTGTGTTACTGATTTTTCTATTGTTTCACTCAGTCTGTTACACTCGAGAAAATGGTCTGTGTATGTCTGTTGTCACTTGGGAACAAGCCCCATAGCCTATCCTTCCGCTGTTCTCTTCAAAATCTGTCCTCGTTCGCGTGTTCTTCATCTCCGGAGTCTTCAGTCAAAGAAGCTTTGAGCTCGATTAGTTTGTTTCTCCGCAAGACTTCTTCCCGGCTTTCCGTTTGCCTCCCTCCCTCTACCTAACTTAGCCTCCTAGTTTTCTTCATCTATGGTCCACATTATTGCATTGGATCTGTTCTATGCATGAACATTTTCTGTGTTATCACGATTTTCTTTTGTTCATCACAGTGGTATAAAACTATACAAGCTTTTTCGGTCACTATGCGAGTTTTTTTTGCAGGCTCATTGGTTGCATTCCGACGTCTCAATCTACAGTTTCCTAAAGAGAGCTCGATAAACTTTGGGAATTCAGTGAAAAAAAGTTCTTCGCGGCTGATGACGATGGTCGTAAAAGATAATATGGTCTAACACTAGCCGGTAATCAAAACTAATTGTATTACGGCACATTTTAAGTGGGTGGCTAGTTGTGCGGAAATGAGCACGCTGACCACTTAAAAAGTATGTAATCTCATTGGCTGTAGAGTTGTGTGCACACTTTGGTGTGTACAATGCGACCATTGTTTAATTTTTCGGTGAACACAACACTTTTTGCTTCACTTTACTTACCAGTTAGCCCAATTCCTGAAGACATCGGCGGAAGTCCGAAAACTGTCCGATGATTTGATTTCTGTTCAGCTGATACATTGATGTTCGGAACTTGTTCTCTTAGAAGTCGAGATGATGGTCTTCTGCATTCGACCCGAACAACCCGTGAACCTACCAGCTTTTAACAGAATGTTTTGGGGATGGTATCAGGTTCCCAGTCTGCAGCTTGCCTTATAACCTCTCTGCCGCCACCTCTTTGTTGAAACTGCCAATCATTTGGTTACATACGAGCTAGGTCCTGTATCATTCATTGAACCATACCAGGTTGAAGGCGAACATGGCTCATTGTGTTGCTTTCCAACACATACTATATAAATGGTGAATGTGAACTTTTACTTGGGAACCTGACCCAGAAAAGGTTTCTTTTAAGAAAAGCGGAAAACCTGTAGGAGTATACTGTCGCATGTCCAGATAAACCTAACGTTGATACCAGATATCACGTGTACACTGCATTTACGTAATTCACAAAAGTGCAATGCACGTCACTGAATTAGGTAGCTCTGTACCTGTTGGGACTCACTCTTCAGTGTAATACATCAGCTCCCGAACTACTAACCTTATTCTAGGTTTCGAACCACTCGTTTGTTTTAAAACGCGTTTGCTCATTTAACCTCAACCTGTACGAACCAGTGTTAGGTTAAGGTATACACAGTGTGTTGACGCAGCCTTGTTGCAAGTCTTTTGTGGATACGTTAGTGAAACTCGCAGTCTTTTCAATAGGGTTGGTTATTGGGTAATCGGGTCTATGGGGAATATTAACCGGGCCGTATGATAACCTTCTTTATTGAAACTGCTGCCTGGAACCCAGTGGATAGCTTCTTCACACCATTTGCCGGTTCTACTGCTTAGGTTGTGACTTTGGGTAGCGGCGCATGCACCTAAATAGCATGCAATTCACTCGTCCGCTAGCGTTCTTTTTTACGGTCGTGTGATCCGTTTGGCTCAAATCGTTTTCAGGTTACTTGTCGCATACTACTCAAGCACGGAAAATGGCTGGTAGCTGCAGTTCAATCGGTGGAAAATTTATGTACGCTATCACCTCACGACCTAGAGAATTCTGTGCGTGCAGGTGCACACCATTTCGACGAGGCTAATCACATGCAGTCCTTTGCAAAAAGCACATCCACGCAGCTCAATCTGCATCCAACGCCAATCGATCCACCACAGTTTGTATTGGATAATTTTATTCATAAGCTTGAATAGACCCAGCCAGCTCAATTATAATCATAAACCACCGCACCGAATATTCTGGTGTTACTTTCCCTAAGGTCCTACGGGCCATCGATACTAACTTGCCAACCGTACAGCAACTGCGACTAAGCCATTGTGAAGGTAAGCATCACGCTCGGAACTGCATTTTACATTTGATCTGATTCTCCCCGCAGCACCAACTCATGCAGAGTGTCTTATTACTGCGTAGGAAGCTATCCTGGCAGAACGACTTTCATCGTCCGATGGATGGATACCAAACTTCCGGCTCATCCGACGTCACTCTTCATCTGTCACAGTAGGACCCTAATTTTGCATCCGAGGAAGTCAATGATTCCGCCCTAGACTGTTAGTATGTGCTGTAGCGTCTGATAATGTCCTAAGATAGCCCAATCTGCAAGGAAGACTCCCTTGGAAGGTTCACATTAGCCACGATCTAATGTGTGGTCTCTTTCACCGAGGTCACTAAGGATAGCATGTGTGCCCTGTTTTCCATGAAGGAATCTTTTAGAAACATGGTGTAGTATAATACCGCACACGAAATCTGATACGCTGATCAACGAAGCCCCAAATCTGTATGGACTAAGGTTCTTTGCTATGTCGTGTGAAATTCATTTAGGTTCTGCACAAACAGATTGCACGGAAAATGTTCATCGACTTATTATTTGTTGAGGGTGTTTGTATCTTTCCAAACTCAACCGAATATCCAATCTGAAAGAAGACATGGTTAACAGGTGCTTCCCATAGTTTTTTACTCAATTGTTGTATATTCCGTTTCCCGTAAGTGTTTATTATTGTTAAAAAAATTTCGCTACCAGATGTTGTATAACGAAGTGCATACAATCACTTCGACCAGGTGCCGCAACACACAACCATTCCGCGAAGCGAATCGTCGGAAGACATTTCACTGGAAATGCAAGTGGCATGACAGGACAATTCTTCTAAGCTTCGTTTCAGCACCGGTCCCAGTCAGTTCAGTTACGTGTCCACTTGCTGAAGCAGAACCAATAAGCAAAAGATGCTTTGAGATTGAAAAGCCTGAAGTGAGATGCCTCAGTGGTCAGAGAGAGAGAGAGAGAATTTGCTGGCCGGAAGGTCCGTGGTTCGAACGCGGCCTCTGCATCTCGACTCCTGTCTAGGCTTAGGCGAACTGGTAGCGTCCCAGCCCTCGTGCTTCCTTCGGATAGCATGGCAGCTAGGCACCGCAAGGGTGTGATAGCTGAACGATTATAAAATATTTATGGAAGGTTGGAGGAACGGAATTGTACATATATATAGCATACCAGATGTTTCCAGCCGTGAAAGTCTTTCAGCCGTCCTAGTATTTATTATCAAACTAGTGTCGCGCAGACCATTTTATCTGGCTGCTAGTTATTAGCGCTCGGTAAGGACCAAGTGGGCCTTTTCGTCGTTATGAAATATAATGCAGCGCTCGAAACCAATGACGCAGTATATCATAGAGACATAGTTGAAATTAAACGAGGAAAAAATAATGACCAGGAACGTGGGTGATCCCTTCAAAGGTTTCGTACATCGGACGGAAAAAGTACATGCTAGACCATCAATCACTGATTTAAAACCCCAACCTGGGATGGAATAATGCCAGATTGCCCGAGCCTAGACAGGGCAAGTCGAGAGGCAGAGGTCGGATTCGAACCACGGATCTACCGGTCAGTAAACTCGCACTCTAACCACTTGAGCCGTCTCACCTGAGTAAGTACAAAGAGACTTATTCATCTATGTAAGAGACTCAAATAGCATCAAACCACAACCTAATAGATATTCTTCCAGAAAGTCGAGCAAACGAATTCGCATAAAAACAAACTACTGGGCTCCCAGTAGCCTACAGACCGAATATTATCTTATAAGGACCGATTATGTAATAATCGAAGAGCAAAGGTAACCAGGTTAGGGTAACGTCGCTGTGCTACGGTCAAGTGAATTCCTGTATGAATTATCATACAGTAAAAATATGTATGTACTGAAAGCGTCTGTCAGAATTAGCGCGTAAGATACTCGATGAGCTGGGGTATACTTTGAAGCACATAGCATTGTATGAATAATTAGATTACTTGGTACGTTGAACTGAACCCTTGCTAGTTAGAAGTATACGCCAAGTATTAATGGCTTCAAAGCACTAAGTAAATTATAGTCTTGGGGCCGATGTGATAATCCGAATTCCGAACATTTGCAACCTAGGTCAGTCAACTCGCCAATTGTCACCAAATACCAGTGTAGGAACGCACAAAAGTGATGATGCGACAGAAGTATCAGCTTACTTTGAACAAATTTTTCAGCTGCGCAAATGGACTGCGTAATACATTGACGGTTACGCAAACTTCTAACTAGCCGCAACTAACTCACCCGTTTATAATTTTCTTCAGCCAAGTTGCCTCACGGTTCATTGACACTGATTTTAATGATTCCAGTCTGCGCTTCTCGCAAATCGCAAGAAAGCGTTTGATCGATATTCACCGGAAGACGGTTATCGATTTTCCCCTTTCAGAACTCATCAGATGCTCTATCCACTTGAACACTGCATTAAATAAACGACTCATTTTTCTACTAACTAGACGTTCACTTGAGATTCAGTCTGACACCTAATTGAATGTGTTTCACCTACGTTGACATTAGTATTCCAATGAATGATCCGGAATCAAATTCCTCTTTGACATCTTTTCATTGGACACCAGATCCCCACGTGCTGTTTCACATATTAAAAAGTGAGACGGTACTAGAAAAATTCTTATTCGGTACTAAAGCACGAGAACAGACTAACTGAAACTAGGGCCAGCGACTACCTGCTGAGAGATAAACAGACCAAAACCCATAGAGTTTGCCGGTGAATCTTGATTAAGTAACTCAGAGGGAACATTAGTTAGTTCTTTCCGTTAAGATTCATTTTAAATCTTTTCAGGTTTTAATCCAACTGAGGATAGTCCATATAAAATGAAAATAAAGCTTGCCTGAGTAGTGAAATTACCACGACGCACAATGACAGAAAAAAAGAGAATTTAAATTCAGAAACCTACCGCAGCTCTGTAATAATCAGCCACCTAAAATATCTTTCTCACCTGAATCATCGAACTGAATGCAATCAGAAAAAGCTATCTGCAGAGAACAGGAAAACCAGCTGTGAGCGTGTTGACGGTAATAAAAATAATCAGAACATCCGGCTCAAACCACAAAGCATTTCACGTGTTCTCTGAGTAGACGGAATTTTAAAACCAGCACCAATTCAAAAATCGTTTTAACGTCGGCGTATTACGAAAGTGGGTGAGATGAAAAACTGGAAGGAGCTTAAGTTGAGGCTGCTAGCACTAAAATGATGCATTCCTCTCAAGCGTAACGAAAGGAAAAATAGTGAGGAATCGGAAAAGCTTTTACTATCTTTTATACTACATG